ATCAATTCGCAGCAACACAAGTACAGACATGGTCCGTTTCATGGCGGAGGTTGGTCCAGGGGGGGGGGGCTACCATATGTATATATGCATACATACATACATACATACATACATACATACATACGCACGTACGTACGTACATACCTACATACATACATACATACATACATACATACATACATACATACACGCATACATACATACAGACATACAGACATACATACATACATACAGCCAGACAGAAAGACAGACAGACAGAAGTACATGCATACCTGCATCCATCCATGCATGCATGCATGCATGCATGCATGCATGCATGCATGCACAGATAGACGTATAGACACATATGTACGTATGTATACATACATATATATATATATATGTATGTATGTATGTATGTATGTATGTACATACACATATACTTAGTCGGATGCAAAATGAAAGGATACTCAGATTCATAGATATATGAATCGACATTCAAAGAGATAGATAGAAAGATAGATAGAGAGATATATGGATAGATAGATGGTCGGTCAGATAGATAGCTAAATAGATAGATAGATAGATAGATAGACAGATAGATAGATAGGTAGATAGGCAGATAGATAAATAAGTAGATAGATAGATAGATAGATAGATAGAAGGATAGATAGATACATAAATAGATAGATAAATAGATAGATAGAGAGATCGATAGGTAGACAGATAGATAGATAAATCGGTAGACGGACAGATAGATAGGTAGATAGGTAGATACATAAATAGGTAGATCGATAGTTAGATAGGTAGATAGATAGATAGATAGATAGACAGGCAGATAAATCGATAGATAGATAGATAAATAGATAAACAAATAGACACGCAGACGCAAACTAGTTTCTCCTATTTCACACAACAAAATATGAATATGAACATACATGTAAATGTTATTGATGTAATTTCAGATCTAAATACCAAGGCACATAAAAGCATAAATGAATGAGCAACAATTGCAACTATGTAAACAATGAACACCAAAACACACATGTCACATATATATATATATACATACATAGACACATACGTACATACGTACGTACGTACATACATACATACATGCATATGTACATAACTAGGGAGAAAGCGAGAGCTAGAGAGAGAGAGAGCGACACAACGAATGTGTGTGTGTGTGCATATACATGTGTAAACATAAACATATAGAGAGAGAGAGAGAGAAACATATACATATACTTACATTCAGACTTGCCTTCATAATTGCTTTAATTTTATGTACATATCTGAACAATTTTGGTCTATGTTGTATTTACATGTTGTATGTACAAATGAAAGCCCAACTGTGGCGTCGCAGTAGCACCAATTGAGCCCTTGCGCCCCTGCGCAACTGTGTAGGCTGTGTTGCATGTAAACCTGCAATGGTTGCAAGTGAAAACCATCCATCGTGGCCTACGATGTTGATAAGCTTGGCTAGTACAACAGGGCGACGAGGAGGAGGAAAGTCTGGATCATGTCGGGCGACGGTGCTCGCAATGCTGGTAGCGGTGACAAAATTACATGTTTTCATAACCGCCATGGTCATGATCACAAAAGCACTAGGCGCCAGCCAGGGCGCTCGAGGCATGAGAAAATGTAGCGGTCAACTGCGGCCCACACCTGACGAGCAGCGTGGCCCTAGGGCGCACGGAATAGGGTTTAGGGGCCAAGGCCCGGAAAGATCAGGCATCCACGCAACGAGCAAGCATAGTACACTGTACCCAGTTCAGCTCCGATTGCACCACCTGGTTGAGCAACTATGCCTTGAGGTGTTGGTTGAAGATCTTGAGACCATCTCGTGCTGATCACCACGCGAAAACACAGGCTTGCAATGGGCAGCTTACTGACACCTACTCTTGCTCTCTCCTACCGCCGCTGCTGCTACTACTACTTGTTGTACTACTAGTACTAGTACTAGTACTTACTACTATTACTACTACTACTACTACTACTACTACTACTACTACTACTACTAGCACTAGTTCTAGTCTAGTACTAGTACTAGTACTAGTACTAGTACTAGTACTGGTACTAATACTGGTACTAGTACTAGTACTAGTACTAGTACTAGTACTAGTACTAGTACTAGTACTAGTACTAGTACTAGGACTACTACTGCTGCTACTACTACTACTACTACTACTACTGCTACTACTACTACTA